ACTGTAAAATCTGTCATCTTATCTACAAAACTGTAAAATCTGTCATCTTATCTACAAAACTGTAAAATCTGTCATCTTATCTACAAAACTGTAAAATCTGTCATCTTATCTACAAAACTGTAAAATCTGTCATCTTATCTACAAAACTGTAAAATCTGTCATCTTATCTACAAAACTGTAAAATCTGTCATCTTATCTACAAAACTGTAAAATCTGTCATTTTATCTACAAAACTGTAAAATCTGTCATCTTATCTACAAAACTGTAAAATCTGTCATCTTATCTACAAAACTGTAAAATCTGTCATCTATCTCTACAAAACTGTAAAATCTGTCATCTTATCTACAAAACTGTAAAATCTGTCATCTTATCTACAAAACTGTAAAATCTGTCATCTTATCTACAAGGCTGTAAAATCTGTCATCTTATCTACAAAACTGTAAAATCTGTCATCTTATCTACAAGGCTGTAAAATCTGTCATCTTATCTACAAGACTGTAAAATCTGTCATCTTATCTACAAGACTGTAAAAAATGTCATCTTATCTTCAAAACTGTAAAATCTGTCATCTTATCTACAAAACTGTAAAATCTGTCATCTTATCTACAAAACTGTAAAATCTGTCATCTTATCTACAAAACTGTAAAATCTTTCATCTTATATATAAAACTGTAAAATCTGTCATCTTATCTACAGAACTGTAGAATCTGTTATCTTACTTACAGGGCTAAAGAATCTAGCATATACCTAGAAGAATACATAATCTATTCTTTTCTCTGCAGAATTATAAATACTATAAAAAAAAAAAAAAAAAAAAAGATACATTAGAGATTATGTCAAAAAAACAAGGATTATATCAGTATTCTCTTGTATCCATATAAAATAAACAGGCATGCATTATCATAGCAGAGTTTTATTCTGTGGGAACATCTTGGTAGTTAGAGACTAATCTTGGTAGTTAGGGACTAATCTTAGTAGTTAGGGACTAATCTTGGTAGTTAGGGACTAATCTTGGTAGTTAGGGACTAATCTTGGTAGTTAGGGACTAATCTTGGTAGTTAGGGACTAATCTTGGTAGTTAGGGACTAATCTTGGTAGTTAGGGACTAATCTTGGTAGTTAGGGACTAATCTTGGTAGTTAGGGACTAATCTTGGTAGTTAGGGACTAATCTTGGTAGTTAGGGACTAATCTTGGTAGTAAGAGAGTAATCTTGGTAGTTAGGGACTAATCTTGGTAGTTAGGGACTAATCTTGGTATTAGGGACTAGGGACTAATCTTGGTAGTTAGGGACTAATCTTGGTAGTAAGAGAGTAATCTTGGTAGTTAGGGACTAATCTTGGTAGTTAGGGACTAATCTTGGTAGTTAGGGACTAATCTTGGTAGTTAGGGACTAATCTTGGTAGTTAGGGACTAATCTTGGTAGTAAGAGAGTAATCTTGTTGGTAGTTAGGGACTAATCTTGGTAGTTAGGGACTAATCTTGGTAGTTAGGGACTAATCTTGGTAGTTAGGGACTAATCTTGGTAGTTAGGGACTAATCTTGGTAGTTAGGGACTAATCTTGGTAGTAAGAGAGTAATCTTGGTAGTTAGGGACTAATCTTGGTAGTTAGGGACTAATCTTGGTAGTTAGGGACTAATCTTGGTAGTTAGGGACTAATCTTGGTAGGGGACTAATCTTGGTAGTTAGGGACTAATCTTGGTAGTTAGGGACTAATCTTGGTAGTTAGGGACTAATCTTGGTAGTTAGGGACTAATCTTGGTAGTTAGGGACTAATCTTGGTAGTTAGGGACTAATCTTGGTAGTTAGGGACTAATCTTGGTAGTAAGAGAGTAATCTTGGTAGTTAGGGACTAATCTTGGTAGTTAGGGACTAATCTTGGTATTAAGGGACTAATCTTGGTAGTTAGGGACTAATCTTGGTAGTAAGAGAGTAATCTTGGTAGTTAGGGACTAATCTTGGTAGTTAGGGACTAATCTTGGTAGTTAGGGACTAATCTTGGTAGTTAGGGACTAATCTTGGTAGTTAGGGACTAATCTTGGTAGTAAGAGAGTAATCTTGGTAGTTAGGGACTAATCTTGGTAGTTAGGGACTAATCTTGGTAGTTAGGGACTAATCTTGGTAGTTAGGGACTAATCTTGGTAGTTAGGGACTAATCTTGGTAGTTAGGGACTAATCTTGGTAGTTAGGGACTAATCTTGGTAGTTAGGGACTAATCTTGGTAGTAAGAGAGTAATCTTGGTAGTTAGGGACTAATCTTGGTAGTTAGGGACTAATCTTGGTATTAAGGGACTAATCTTGGTAGTTAGGGACTAATCTTGGTAGTAAGAGAGTAATCTTGGTAGTTAGGGACTAATCTTGGTAGTTAGGGACTAATCTTGGTAGTTAGGGACTAATCTTGGTAGTAAGAGAGTAATCTTGGTAGTTAGGGACTAATCTTGGTAGTTAGGGACTAATCTTGGTAGTTAGGGACTAATCTTGGTAGTTAGGGACTAATCTTGGTAGTTAGGGACTAATCTTGGTAGTTAGGGACTAATCTTGGTAGTTAGGGACTAATCTTGGTAGTTAGGGACTAATCTTGGTAGTAAGAGAGTAATCTTGGTAGTTAGGGACTAATCTTGGTAGTTAGGGACTAATCTTGGTAGTTAGGGACTAATCTTGGTAGTTAGGGACTAATCTTGGTAGTTAGGGACTAATCTTGGTAGTTAGGGACTAATCTTGGTAGTAAGAGAGTAATCTTGGTAGTTAGGGACTAATCTTGGCAGTTAGGGACTAATCTTGGTAGTTAGGGACTAATCTTGGTAGTTAGGGACTAATCTTGGTAGTTAGGGACTAATCTTGGTAGTTAGGGACTAATCTTGGTAGTTAGGGACTAATCTTGGTAGTTAGGGACTAATCTTGGTAGTTAGGGACTAATCTTGGTAGTTAGGGACTAATCTTGGCAGTTAGGGACTAATCTTGGCAGTAAGGGACTAATCTTGGTAGTAAAGGAGCTAACAGAGAACTAATCTTGGTACTCATGAACTAATCTTGGTACTCATGAACTAATCTTGGTATTTAGAGACTAATCTTGGTAGTAAGGGACTACCTCGGGGAGGCTGTGACTCTTCGCCACGCACAATGGTCTTGAGGTAAGAGAGGTTTTGCTAGGTCAAGAGGCTGACACCGCAATGGACGCTCTTGTCATGAACAGATATTCACTAGACCTAGGGTGAAGTAAGGGGGGAAACCACTACCCACAACACCAACACTTCTTACCCCCTGCCTCTCGAGTGCCCACAACTCAGCAAGACTAGAAGAATGCTACTCCCTCAGAGACCATACAAGTGGAACACTTTGTACGGAGGAAAAGAGCAGCTTGTGAAAACATGCAAATTCCACTACTGGGCATTGGGCCAAAGGGCGAAAGCTCATGCACCGCTGGATCGATAAAACAACAACAACAAAGGGAAAAGAGGAGGAGGAGGAGGAGAAGAAGAAGAAGGAGGAGGAGGAGAAGAAGAAAAAAAAGGAAGAGGAAGAAGAAGAAGAGGAGAAAGAAGAAGAAAAAAGGAGGAAGCAGCAGCAGCAGAAGAAAAAGAAGAAGAAGAAGCAAGGAAGAAGAAGAAGAGGAGGAAGAAGAAGAAAAAGAAGAAGAAAAAGAAGAAGAAGAGGAAGAGGAGGAGGAGGAGGAGGAGGAGTAGAAGAAGAAGAAGAAAAAAAGAAGAGGAAGAAGAAGTAAAAGAAGAGGAAGGAAGGAAGGAAGGAAGGAAGGAAGGAAGGAAGGAAGGAAGGAAGGAAGGAAGGAAGGAAGGAAGGAAGGAAGGAAGGAAGGAAGGAAGGAAGGAAGGAAGGAAGGAAGGAAGGAAGGAAGGAAGGAAGGGAAGGAAGGAAGGAAGGAAGGAAGGAAGGAAGGAAGGCAGGAAGGCAGGCAGGAAGGCAGGCAGGAAGGAAGGAAGGAAGGAAGGAAGGAAGGAAGGAAGGAAGGAAGGAAGGAAGGAAGGAAGGAAGGAAGGAAGGAAGGAAGGAAGGAAGGAAGGAAGGAAGGAAGGAAGGAAGGAAGGAAGGAAGGAAGGAAGGAAGGAAGGAAGGAAGGAAGGAAGGAAGGAAGGAAGGAAGGAAGGAAGGAAGGAAGGAAGGAAGGAAGGAAGGAAGACAAAGAAAGAATGAAGAAGAAGGAAAAAGGAAGGTAGGAAGAAGAAGGAAGAATAAGAAGGAAGAAGAATAATAAAGATGGAGAAAGATAGAGAAAAAATGAGGAAGAGATAGAGGAAGAAGAAGGAAGAAGAAATAAGAAAAAGGTAGATATTGAAAGAAGAAGGAAGAAGAGGGAAGAAGAAGGAAGAAGAAAAAAGAAAAGGAAGAAGAAAGAAGAAAAAAGAAAAAAGAAGAAAGAAGAAGAAGAGGAAGAGGAAGAAAAAGAATAAGAAGAAGAAGATGAAGAGGAAGAGAAAAAAGAAGAAGAAGACATGTATATTGGCTCAAAATAGCTCTAAAGAATACTCTCGTGTTATTGTCAAAGAAATCGCTTATAATATTCTTTATCTATGAAATGTTGCTTTTCGTTGGGCTTTTCTCTTTGCCATACTTCTTCAGTACAAGTCCACTGTCAATACAACTATCCGCAACATCCTAAACTTCTTCAGTACAAGTCAACTGTCTGTTGTAAACACAACTATCCTCAACACCCTGAACTTCTTCAGTACAAGTCCACTATCTGTTGTCAATACAACTATCCGCAACATCCTAAACTTCTTCAGTACAAGTCCACTATCTGTTGTCAATGCAACTATCTGCAAGATCCTAAACTTCTTCAGTACAAGTCCACTGTCTGTTGTAAACACAACTATCCGCAACATCCTGAACTTCTTCAGTACAAGTCTACTGTTGTATACACAACTATCCTCAACATACTGAACTGCTTAAGACTAGTCATATTTATTATTCAAACAGAGATAAAAGACAAATTTGCATTTTGTAGCAAGAAGAGTAATATGCAAGAGTGAAACATAGGATACTTACTGCACAGTAATGACTAATTAATGTATTAAATTCAGGAAAACCGTCATAAAAAGACACATAATTGTTGTCACAGTCTCCCTCTGGCTCAGACATGAATGAGACATGCCATTGGATTGTCCTTCCGGTGTCAGGGGTGATAAACCAGACACAGGTCATGGGGTCAGAGAAGCTGCCGGGGTATCCAGGACTTGTGAACTCGCCTGACTCCAGACCTGTTATATTTCCTCCACATCCTGGCCCTGTCAGTACAAAATAAGAACTTATAACTCATCATTATCATGTGCTGTGTGCATTAGTTAGTTAGTTCATTAGTTAGTAGGGTTGTCATCATTGCACTCCAGACATGTCCAGAGGTGCTCAGATCCTCCCCTCAGTATGAACCCCAACGTCCGATGGCTAATAGTACCAGTTCTATGTTGATTAACAAGTCTTCTGGTGTGTCTGGTGTGCGTCTTGTTTTTTGTTATGCTGATCTGAATTTCCCAAGTCTGCCATTCTGGTGAGTGACCAAAGTCCTCTATCCTTCCCATTTCTCTGAAGGCATTAATAATATCAGCATGATCCATAGGCTGACCATCGGTTGTGTGTATTAATGTTAGCAATCACACTCCTCCACATCCTACTACCGGCAATGATGGGATTTGATTAGTTTGTTGATAACTTTTCATGCTATGGCATAAGTCTGTCAAGAATGGCCTCTCCTGCCTTCTTCTGTCTCCTTTTTCATAAATCTTTCCAACTGTTGCAACATGCTCCATTTCTTCTCTTCCTACAGTGTTGCCTCATCCTGATTTTTGTGATTAACTGTCATGTTGATATTTTTCAAAATATTTAGATTACTCATTCTGGCTTCCTGTTAAGGTTTTGGTACCCCACTGGAAGGGAGGGGGGAGGAGGGGCAGAACCTGCTGCCCTTCAGCAAACATGTACCAAAAGGTGACTAATTAAGGGTGTTTCCTTTGAGATCAAAGTGCTTCTGCCTGAGGGGCAGGCAATCAATGGTCTACTTGCTAATAAGCCAGATCTGCAAAACAGATGTGCGTGCACAACTCAAGTTATGGAACAAGACTACATTCTAGAAGTGGATGAACAACCACCTATTTTCAAACTAACTCTGTTTAACATGCAAGAATTACTTTTCTGACTCAATTAGGAGGATATTTTGCATAAAATGTTTTTTATTTAATAAAATGCAATTTTTTTTTAGTATCCAGAGGCTCAGTACCATGGATATTGCAACCCTTCGGCCTTGATTTCATGATAAATACCATAAATCTGGAGAAAAAATGTGGCTTTTCTGCCTACCCCAGGGCGTGAACAAAGAGTTTGTCACCCGGTCACCGGGCAATCCGGTTTAGCCAACTACGCTAGCAAGCTGGGCATAAAATGCAATCAAATGTTACTTGTCCTATTCTGTTCTTTATCTTTATCAAATATCTTCTCTATTTAGTCATCAAGTGCTTGATTCTGCCTGACCAAGGTCTGCATCATTTTAGTTTGTTGAAGGCTTGCCAGAAAGTAATCCACTCTCCATCTCTGAAGGGATGGTAACATTTTTTCCTCTTTCGTGTTCAGTCTTAGAAGGGCAGCTGGCATGTTGTGTTGTGGTTTACAGTTAGGCTGTGATATCCACACCTTTTGGCCTAGCACATCCGATTTTAGCAAATCCCTAATTAATCGCCTTTTACCTCATGCTTGTTGGGAGGCAGTGGACCCCCCCCCCCATCCCCATTCTCCTTTTTTGTTTTTCTAAATGCTGCCCTAAAACCCACAGAAGGATTAACAACTCTTTAATTTGTGTGATGTTCTCAATAGCCTGTTTCAGCCTAAGGAAAAATATGTGGATGCAAAAGCCATCAGTATATGGCGTGACAGCTGACCAACTTACTACACAGCTGCCTTGTAGCCTGACTATCTTTCTCCTCAGACAGCAATGATCTATTTGTGCTCTGTACTGTTCACTCACCCCCAAAGGGCCCTCATATCTAGCTTGTCATACATCAGTTCACCATCAAGTGGTGCAGAAATGACCAGTCATCTGCCTGCTCATTTCCCAATTCATACCTAATAAGTGTTTCTGGTTTTTTCATTGTTGCTGTTGTTGCTTGGAGGACCATGTGGGGAGATAGTAAGAGCCAAGTGGGTAGCTACCAATTCCCAGTTGAGCCTTAGCAAGAAATTGGGATGGAACATTTTTAGGCATTACAAATTCATCAGTCATGTAGTCAGTAAGGAATGTTGTATTAATATGGTGTCATCATTCTGATGTTGAGAGTGTCAGCATGGACATGGTGTAAGAAGGTGTCTATCTCATCTTGTCAGAGCAAACTCATAGACATGGTGTAAGAATGTGTCTATCTCATCTTGTCCGAGCAAACTCATAGACATGGTGTAAGAAGGTGTCTATCTCATCTTGTCCGAGCAAACTCATAGACATGGTGTAAGAAGGTGTCTATCTCATCTAGTCCGAGCAAATTCATAAATATGGTGTAAGAAGGTGTCTATCTCATCTTGTCTGAGCAAACTCATAGACATGGTGTGAGCAGGTGTCTATCTCATCTTGTCCGAGCAAACCCATGGACACATTGTAAGAAGATGCTCATCTCATCTAGTCCGAGCAAACCCATGAACATGGTGTAAGAAGGTGTCTATCTCATCTTGTCCGAGCAAACCCATGGACATGGTGTAAGAAGGTGTCTATCTCATCTAGTCTGAGCAAATCCATAGAGTCGGTAATAGTAGAACCATTAGTGGCCAAAGTTACTTTTGCTATCTCCAGTAGATGTCTGTGACTTGAAGGTCTTACCTTGTGTTGAAGATATGAAGATGATATCATAACCAACATTGCCGCCTTCAGCATCTGACTGGAACCTGAGAGTTGCCAAATTGTCTGTCATAAATACAGGTGAAGGCTGGTTATGGCCACATAATCTGGCCACAGTTGCAGATGAGCTATTTTTAATCTGCCAGTGAAGGAAAAAAATCCAAAAAGAATTGAAGTGAAACAATAAACTTTATGAGACATTAGATAATGTACTAAACATACATTACTGCTTTCCTCAAATAATTCAGAGTTAATTATTCTTGTTTGGCTTTTTATCTTATTGATTAATTTTAACACAATTAAAATAAACTACAATCATTCCAAGATGACCCAGACTTAAATGGGTACCAAATAAAGTCCTGGGAAGTAAAGGTGGCCATCGTCATGCTGACCACATCACACACAGTGCCGACTAGTCTATAAAATATGGATCTAGCACTGTGGCTCCGATATACATGAAAGCACTGAAGATTTGATGATTGACATTCAACCCCACCAGGATATAACACTGAGCGATAAACATCTGGTGACACAAAGTGTTGTGATTTGGATGAAATCACCCGGGGACAGATCCCTGAAACCCCCTTCAACCCATAATGAGTTATATTAGGACCCCCAACAACTGCCGGAGTGGGGCTCTAAAACAACAAATTACATCATATATTGGGATAAAATAATGGTTTTTTAATCAAAAGGCACTGAAAACTGTCATTTACTCAACTTGTGAACATTCAATAACTGTTGCCTTTGGCAACAGAAGGATGCGTATGATGTGGCAGAAAGACTGATTCAGAGTCTAGGTTCTTCAACTTCCACTGAGCCAGAAGGTGAAGAATTGACACACATTATAATGTCCTTTCACTGGAGCCCACAAAGACCTACACACACAAGGAGAAGTATATTAAGAGACAAAAGATTAATCGTATGCACAGGACGAGAGAAAGACAAGCAGGTTCTGCTTTGAATGACTGAGGGTTCCAAAAGATAACTGAAGACAAGGGATTGTGGGAACAAAAGCGAGTGATTCCTTTATTACCTACCTCCAGAAAATCTTTACCACATGCAGGGGCATCCTCAATCCTAAAATCATGAAAGTACAAGGCCAAGGTTGTGTTTTCCGGGGAGGTAACTTGGATAGTGCAGTTAGAGTTAGCTGGGTAGTAACTTGGGTATTTTGGGCTAACGAAGTGACCGCTGCCTTTACTGATGTTCTGGTTGCAATCTGTGGACCGTGGAAACTTGATTCTAGTAAAACAGGTCAATGTAATTATTCATTCAAAAATACTATCAAATTACAAGATAGCTGATTGAAAAATATATATTCAAATACAATGTGCAACATTTCAGAGTCTGCAGGCTCTCATATTAAAACCACAATGAAATATGTTGTCAGATCAATTCCATCCTTACCTGCACAGGACTTCAGGTTACACTTGACTGGTGTAGACATTTGCGGAAGCCCTAATTATAGTTTCTGTGGACGTGTAACTGAGTATAGGGGGATCTACCCTGTTGGTCTGTCATTCGGATATTAGGGTGTCCACTTTTAAAACTTCAGCCCAGAGAAGGAAAAACAATGTTTTCAGATGTGAAACAGAGATGAAAATTATATGTAAAAAAAACAATAAGGTTGTCATATCCAACACATTTAAAAAAAAAACTAGAATATGTAGCAAGCAAAAAAAAAATATAATGCCCCCACCCCTTATGAATTACTGTAATTGTTGGACAAATACAAATGAAACGGTGAAGAAGTTAGAGACGCTGTTAAATAAAAGTTTAGAATTTAGTGGAGAAGGAAAACAAAAATAAAATGCTGAGCTATTGAAAGACATAAATGTTAATAAATCACTGATCAAAACTATACATGGGAAGCAAAGGCAGCTGTCATAATGCTGGCTAGTCACCCAATGAGTGCCGATTGGTCTATAATAGTAGAAGCCTAGCCCTGTTTGCCCAGGCTACTAATGGTATGAACAAGATCCTTTACTTTTATTGTTTCTCATGGAAACTATCAGGAATGATTTGATTTGATTTGATTCAAGAACCGACATCACAGCACTTGGGGCATTCTCATAAGCGCTCCATCCCCATCTTCAGCAGCCAGGGAAGAGTTCCGATACTAATGGTGCCAGTAGCATTCTGATTAAACGTCCGTCTTGCCTTTCCTCTGAGCCTCAAGCATTTGCCAGAACCTCTTATCACCCCCAACTACATCAATCTCACCAGACTGTGGTGATCCATCTGCTTCCTCCGCTTTGTACACGCTCTCCCACTAGGCACTAACTATGTCTGCTTTATCATGTATCAGTATTCCACCAAGTTGTGCAGAGCCAGCCAATCTGTCCGCCTGTTCATTTCCCAACACACCGGCGTGACCCAGTGAAAAAATCCAGACAAAAACTATCAGGAAAAGACAAAAAAGGAATTCAGAAGTCAATCTAAAGAGGTAGGTGTAGGTGGGAACTGAGTTCCTAGTGTGAGAAGGAAGTACCTGCAATCTGATAGGTCAGCTGAAAGCCATGGCTTCCAGAAGTTGTCCTGAGGTAGTAACTGATCTTCACCCGTGCTCCTATAGAGTCAAATGAATGAGGAAGGACACTGCCACAGTAAACCAGCTCTTGTGCGTAGTCTCCCTGGAAAAATCAACATCTCATATTAAACCACAAATTAGCCACAAGTGATGAGCAGTGATTGAACACTGGATTTTCCCATGTGGGTTACAGGGCAACATTTAGGTGAAGAAATGACCCACTGCCCTCTAACAAGCATGTCATAAGAGGCTAGAAATTATGGGTGTTCCCTCTAAAGTTGATCTGGCTGGCTGAGAGGTGTGAAACCAACAGCACGCAACTAAGCTAGATCTGTAAACTCCAGTTTCGGAACAAGACCAAAGTCCAGAAGTAGACAAACAACCATAACTTTCTGGCCCCAAGTCTACAGCCAGTGAATGCTAAGAAGAAGAGTAGGAACACTAGACTAGCTTATGATAGGTTAGTGTCAGTAATTCTAGCGAACAAGACCTCTCTTCCCCGCCTCGGAGGATATCCTTGAAAACAAACACCAGTCTGGTGTTTTCTTGTTCTTCAGTCCAAGCAGAAGAGAACAGCTTAAAACTTCAGGATTTTAATCTCTGAGCATCATTTCTTGTTATACAAATAGCTTTAAAAAGTGCCCAGAATGTGTGTAATAATGCTTTTTCTTCAAAACAGTTTCCTTTGGCAACTACACACTTTTGCCAAAGTTCATACGGTTGTTGGAAACTTTCCTGAAACTCATTCTTTGACACCTTTCAGCCTCTTTGTTGCATTGTTGGAAACATTCCTGAAATTCATTCTTTGACACCTTTCAGCCTCTTTGTTGCATTGTTAGAAACTTTCCTGAAACTCATTTTTGATACCTTTGCTTTGTTACATTAGCGATAATATCCCCAGTATCCTTGAATCTTACTCTGAGCGTGACTACTCAAGCAAAACACAAAATTTCACATTTGTGCATTGCTCAACTCCAATGATGCCACATGAGCAAGACACAAACAAACTTCTGCAACTTCTGTTTGAGAATAAATGTGTTACCAGGAGTTACCAGGGGATCTGGCTGACGCCTAACACTCAAGGAAAAGGCGAGTCAGTTACACAATTACACAGTTATTAGTGCCATTGGAATTGGAACTCTTCGCTTGCTGCTAAAGATGAGGATGGAGCACTTATGGGAGTGTCCTGAGTGCTGTGGTGTCAATTCTTATTCAAAATTTAGTCTCAGAAAACAAAAATGAAAGGCATTTACACTCACCTTTGGCTGATCACTGAAAATTAAACGTTCAGACTGGCATCCCCAACTTTCCAGGAGCTGTAGATCAGTTACATGTAGTCTCACATGCTGACTAGGGTCACCAGAATCAATGAACCATGTACAGCTGACAGTCTCTCCAGCAGCAGTGGGGTAGTTCAGCGAGCTGATTGTTTGAGGTGTGCTTGTAGCATTGAGGGCTCCACCACAAACAGCTGTCAGTGGAAACAAGAATGGGTGATGTAAAAGGTAAAGTCGGGAGATGTGAACCAGCATCATTGCACACGGTTATAAACCATAGGTGCTCTGCCAGCAGTACGGACAGCTGATAAGAATTGTCTCCCTGTAAATTCTGTAGCTACAGCGACGTTCCTCCATTTACCCCAGAGTATCACTCTGGTACCCATTTCCTAAAGGCTGGGTGAACCCCGGGAGCTGCCCGGTTTAAAACACGGACCGTGGGCTGCAGCGAGTCGCAGCTGGATTAGGTGTTTGACTTAGCAACACATTCTGCTGAAAAGTATACATGAATATTCAAACCTTGGGCTGAGAAATCAGACACTGGCCAGCGGGTGCTAGGGAGGTGGAAGTCCAACAGTTAATTAATGACAATTCACGACTAGGTGATCTTATTATCTATACAGATGGTTCGGTGTTGAGAGGAAAGAGAAGTGCCTGGAAGTTCATAGCAAAAGCCAATGGAAAATCTTTAGTGCACGACAGCCTAGCAAATGACATCACAATATCTAGCATGAGAATGGAGGTGGAGGCAGTAACTGCAGCTCTCCAGTGGCTAGAGAACAAGATGCTTACACATGTCATAATTGTAACAGACTCTGAAAGCATGCTGAGAAAGGTGAAGATAGGGATGCTTTGAGCAGAGTTGCAATCTTCACTGGGAAATAGTGAGCCTACTTTGGATCTTTTCTCCAGGTGATGCCGGTGTGGTGGGCAATGAACAGGCAGACAGACTTGCTGGATCTGGGTAGTGAATTAATACATGACAAGGCAGATGTGGTCAAGGCACTTTGGGAACAAGCAACAGAATCAGTAAAGAAACAAGATTATTATGGCCTGGAGAGAATGAGGCACCTGGGTGTAACCAGAGGGTCTGGCTGGCTCACTACACTCAGAGGAAAGGCAAGATAGACATATAACCAGATTGTGACCGGTACCATCAGTACTGGAACTCTGCGCTGGCTGCTGAAGATTAGGATGGAGCATGCATGGAAATGTCCCGAGTGCTGTGATGTCAATTCTTGACTTAACTCAACTCAACTAAAACCTTTATAAATTTCCTTGACCCACCCTGGATTGTCACTTACGTGAATGTCTAACTATTTATAGATTTCCCTAACCCAAACTGAGTTTTTGTACACAAATGTTCAATCCTTTATAAATTTCTCTGACCCAGGGTGGATTGCTCAACATCAGTCATGGATGTTTGTCAATTCATCCGGTACTTTCTCTGTTGACCTCAATTTAGTCAATATGGATGTATACAAGGGCATACAAATGCATGTTTAAAGTGAGAACTATTCATGTGAAGAATATGCTAGATTGTATCTGTCAGTTGTAAGGAATCACAAATAAATATGAACCACTTAGTAATGTATAAGTAAAATATAAACTTAGTCTATACCTTAGATTTTGTTCAAAAGAATCTTTTGAAGCATTATAACAGAGCACCATTATTGGTAAAACAAAAAAATGACTCCAAAAACAATAAGTATCTTCACACAAAACGAAGTTTATATAACACTCAAGATGCATGTAATTTTGTAGCTATGTTAATGATGCATTGCGTCATATGAAGAAAGGAAAAGAACGCTGGCCAGACAACATCTCACTGGAAGAAATTGAAGCATTGGGAGATTTTGGAAATGAAATAATAACTAAACTTTGAAATCATAATTATAATAGTGGGTATATTCCAAATGACCTTTTAAATCCATATTTATAGCTCTGCCAAAGAAACCAGGCATTTTAAAATGTGAAGACCATCATACAATAAATCTTATGAGTCACATGACTAAGATGTTACTGAGAATAATTAAGAGAGGAATAATAAACACAATTAAACCAGAAATCAGCGATGAACAATGTGGATTTGTAGAAGGAAAAGGTACAAACAATGCCATACACACCCTAAGGACATTGTCAGAAAGAGCTATAGAAGTACAGGCTGACTAACACTTATGCTTCATAGACTATCATGTGTGAAACATGAAGAAGTAATCAAACTGTTAGAAAAATGTTTAAGTATGTGTAAAAGATCTACGAATAATAAAGAATATGTATTCGCAGCAAACAACAGCTATAAGAACTAACAACTGTTTAGATACATTTCAGTGCAAAAAGAGGAACGTACGACAAGGATGTGTACTGTCAGCTGATTTATTTTCGTTATACAGTGAATATATAATGAGATCTTTACTTGATATGCCCAGAATTGGTGGTTGGTACAATATAAACAACTTACGTTATGCTGATGACACAGTCTTGATAGCAACAAATAAGAAAGAACTACAGGAAATTATAGAAATTGTTGGTGGTAGAAAGTGGAAGAATGGGCTTCAGTTTGAATAATGGCAAGACAGAAGTAATGGTGGTATCAAAGAAAAGAATTATTCCTAAATGTGTAATAAAAGTCAGTTGTGTTATTTTGGGACAAGTACAGAAATTTAAGTATCTGGGCAAACAACATCAGATGGAAGATGCACAACTGAGATAAGAAACAGAATTAGACAGACAAAAACTGCATTTTATAAAATAAAATAAAGAACATCTTATGCAATATATCTCTGTCACTGAAGGTTAGAAAAAGAATTCTTGCTTGCTACATACATCCAGTTTTAACATATGGCTGTGAGTCCTAGACAATTGGTAGGCAGGCTAGACAATTTCTTGAGGCCTCAGCAATATGGTTTAACAGAAAAATACTTAAAATACCTTGGACAGCCAAAAAGAGCAACCAAGAGGTTTTGAAAGAGGCGGGAGCCCGATGACAACTTATCACAACATCAGAGGCAGACAGTAATAATTTGTGGGCCTTGTTATGAGAAGAGGTAAAATGGAACATCTTGTGACCACTGGAAAGATCTGTGGAAGGAGGGATAGAGGATGACAACCAGAGAAGATTCTTGACAGTCTTGTTGCATGGCACACAAACTGATACATGTTGCAGGAGATCGCAGATTGTGGAGAGGCATGATCCCCCACGCCAGTCAGCAAGGCACCTGATGATGATGATACTGCATTCACAGGATCCAAACGCACAGCAAATTGTGGATGATGTGTTACTGGATAGATTTAGTTTGCTTGACTGAACTTCAGTTGTACAAATATATAAAACATGTTCACTGTTGAACAGGAGTAATAACTAGTACACATGGTGAATTTTTTGGGGTGGAAGGGTTAAAAAGGCACCAGTGCTTTCCACAAAGTTTATATTACATTTGCATTGAGAGAATGATGGCTGAAAAAGGTAATGGTGCTGCATTCCCCCCCCCCCCCCCCCCCCCCCCCCCCCAAAAAAAAAAAACACGCCTGGGATGTATAATGCTAGCGCTTAAATCTTTACAGACAAATGGGAACTTGACAGGTTAAAGTTGAGATGATTGACTTCATTGCACCGGGGTTTATTCAATATGGCTCAGTCTCTCTCTGAAGATTCGCTAGCAGCTAGCAGCTTGTTGATAGCCTTGTACAAAGAACAAACATCTAGTCATGTCGAAAAATCCTAGGGATCTCTATAAACATTGCACTCGTGATCCATATGATACAGACATGAAATCAAACCACGACCTTCAGAGCGACAGGCCAATGGCCTGACCACTTTGTCATGGAGCTCCCCCTCACCCCCCCCCCCCCCCCCCCCCACAGTTTCATCAGAGGCTTGATCCCAGGACCCTCCGTGTGTTTAACGGATGTGATAACCACTACAATATGTAATCATCTGAACTTGATGAGTGATTCTATCAATGTCATTGGTCACCCTTACTTCCAGGCTACTCAGCCACAGGTAGGGCTCACCTAGTAGCCCAGGATAAGATCCTGCTTCGGTGCAGAGCTGAACCTTTGCCTACATCTCTCAGTGTAGTGACCCTGCACTAGTGTGACTCACAACTGTAGCAAATCAGTAAGGAAAAAGGTACAAACCATCAACCTCTCGAAACGTAAGATTGAAACCAGCATAACTCCTTCTCCAGTCTGTGTGGAAGTGAACCAAGACGAACATTGGATGATGCAGAAATTGTATAGTTAGGGACAGAGCTGCCACATAATTCTGTCAACAATTCATCATTTTTTGTCAAACCATCATAGATCTGAGAAGAAAATTATAATAATTAAAATGATAATCATTACAATACTATGATCTATACATGAAAGACCTCTATAGTTAGCAGTGCTGGAAAATAAGAATGGCATGAAAGACAAGGAGAGAGAGGTTAGACAGTTCAGTGTGATGGTATTGGGAATATTCTTTATAAGAAATGACTAGCAGTATACAATAGAGACAATCATCTTCTTCCTCTACTTCTTCAGCATTCCCAGCCCTTGAGGTTCATTGTTACAGATATCACCCACCTCCTCTCATCTCTCAGGTTGGTCTTCTTTTTCCAGTTGGGGACAGAAAGTGTTTGCAGATCTGTCTGACATTATCTCTCCATCGTCTTCTTGGTCTGCCTCGTGATCTACGACCATTCATCTCCCTGGTGTATACAGTTTTTATCTCTGTGACATTCTCTCAATATACCCAAGCCATTTCCGTTTATTAGCTTCCATGATGCCAATGATCAATGGTGATTTAACTCTTTCAGGGCCATTAATTTTTACAGACTTGGCCCACGTTAATTTTCCATTACAAAAATGGCAGAGGGGTGGGTGTACAAGAAAGGCAATAGAGAAAGTAATAGAGAGAAATGAATGTATATTTTTAATCTGATGGTAAGTATAGGTTTAATTTGTTTATAGTTAGTAGGAAAAAAGAATTCAGCAGGGGATAATTTCACTACAACATTTTACAAACTAATTCTTCATTTACAATGATGCTGCAGCCACAAGAGTAGTGAATATCCAAATTTGTGAACAAAATTTGAAAGTTTGTTCTATTTCCTAACAAACTCCAAAGTTATGATAAGTTTCTTGATTAGTTTAGCACTCAACGGCTTTTTGTTCTTACAGTGCTGATCAAAATTTCAGAGAAAAAAATGGCAGAAAAATGAGCCAATACACATACACACACTATTTACTTCGTACAGTTATATACAGACTGTAGCTACAATGATTTTGTTTAGAGCCCTTTCCTTCTCTTACACCACAATTATGGTAGCAATAGGACATTGTCTGTTTAATAAACTTATCAGAAATGCTAGATTGCGAACATCTGATTGCTCAGCTTTGCTGGTGAAAATTCACCATCCCAATCACTTCCGAAAAATCTAAATGTTCATTATCATTATCAGAATTAAAAACATCCGACTGAAACAATTTCAGAGCATCGGCTGCAGAAAGACGCATTCTGCGACCTGTACTTGTGGATGGAACATTGGTATTCATGGCACTCAAACTTAGAAAATGCACTGTTGAAAAAATGTTGCTGTGAATCCGATCTAATTATGCATGTGTTGCTTTTGAAAAGGAATGTAGCTGAAAGGATTTCGGCAGAGTGATTTTCCCTGAATAGTTTAATCATACTTCCGAACATTAGATACAAGTTCGGAGCTGTGTGCGAAGCAAAATGTACGGGACACACGATCGACGATGACAGCAATGTTTGGGCAAAATGGAACTTTTCGATCAACGCTCACACTGTTGCTCGAACCTTAAAGAGTTAAACAGATTATGAATTTTGTTGTTGCTTCTCACTCTCCATTCTCCACTGATTACCTCTTTAACGAGTCCAAAACTTCGTCACAAGACTCTGCTGTTGAAAATTTCTGATAAGTCTTCATCTCTTTTAGTTGTACTCCAAGTTTCAAAGCCATATATAAAATGACTGGTCTTATCAATGTTTTGTATATTTTGATCTTGATGTTGAAGACAGAAATAGTGGACATAAATTTTAATAAAACTACTTAGAGAAGATTGTCATGCCACTGTCATCACTGACTGTGTTTATCACTGTTAGGGCAGTGTAGGATGGGGGGGGGGGGGGGGGGGAATCTTGAGAATGAGGATTTAGTGTTACATGGTTTCCAATTAATTAAACTTCCTAGTTGTCTGTTACAGTTGTCTCTGCCATGGTTTCCTATTAATTAAACTTCCTAGTTGTCTCTTACAGTTGTCTCTGCCATGGTTTCCAATTAATTAAACTTCCTAGTTGTCTCTTACAGTTGTCTCTGCCATGGTTTCCAATTAATTAAACTTCCTAGTTGTCTCTTACAGTTGTCTCTGCCATGGTTTCCAATTAATTAAACTTCCTAGTTGTCTCTTACAGTTGTCTCTGCTATGGTTTCTTATTACTTAAACTTCCTAGTTGTCTCTTACAGTTGTCTCTGCTATGGTTTCTTATTACTTAAACTTCCTATTTGTCTGTTACAGTTGTATTTGCCATGGTTTCCTATTAATTAAACTTCCTAGCTATCTACTATAGTTGTCTTTGCCATGGTTTTCTAATAATAAAACTTCCTAATTGTCTACTATAGTTGTCTGTGCTTACGTTTCCTAATAATTAAACTTCCTAGTTGTCTGTTACAGTTGTCTCTGCCATGGTTTCCTATTAAGTAAACTTCATAGTTGTCTACTATAGTTGTCTCTGTCATGGTTTCCTATTAAGTAAACTTCATAGTTGTCTACTATAGTTGTCTCTGCCATGGTTTCCTATTAATTAAACTTCCTAGTTGTCTGTTACAGTTGTCTCTGCCATGGTTTACTATTAATTAAACTTCCTAGTTGTCTGTTATAGTTGTCTCTGCCATGGTTTCCTATTAAGTAAACTTCCTAGTTGTCTGTTACAGTTGTCTCTGCCACGGTTTCCTATTAAGTAAACTTCCTAGTTGTCTGTTACAGTTGTCTCTGCCATGGTTTACTATTAATTAAACTTCCTAGTTGTCTGTTATAGTTGTCTCTGCCATGGTTTCCTATTAAGTAAACTTCCTAGTTGTCTGTTACAGTTGTCTCTGCCATGGTTTCCTATTAAGTAAACTTCCTAGTTGTCTGTTACAGTTGTCTCTGCCATGGTTTACTATTAATTAAACTTCCTAGTTGTCTGTTACAGTTGTCTCTGCTATGGTTTCTTATTACTTAAACTTCCTATTTGTCTGTTTCAGTTGTATTTGCCATAGTGTCCTATTAATTAAACTTCCTGTTTGTCTGTTACAGTTGTCTCTGCCAAGGTTTCCTATTAATTAAACTTCCTAGTTGTCTGTTACAGTTGTTTCTGCTATGGTTTCCTTTTAATTAAACTTCCTAGTTGTCTGCTATAGTTGTCACTGCCATGGTTTCATATTATGTAAATTTCCTAGTTGTCTGCTATTGTTGTCTCTGCTATGGTTCCCTGTTAAGTAAACATCCTTCCTAGCTATCTGCTGCAGTTGTCTTTGCCACAGCTTCCTGTTAAAATTCCTAGCTATCTGCTACAGTTGTCTCTGCCACAGCTTCCTGTTAAACATCCTATCTATCTGCTTCAGTTATGTCTCTCACAGTTTTCTGTTAAACCTCTAAATATTGATCAGAATCATGTAGGAAGTCTATTGCTAAATGTTGCTTTCATCGCAATTCCCTGGAGTAATTCTTACAGACTTTTGCTAGTTCTCATGACTCATGTATTTTCACGCCCTAATCTTTTTTAACTGTGTGCTAGGTGACACCTGCCTCTCTCTCACCTAGAAATCTAAGATCAAATGCTTGTCTCACATTGTGAACACTTGCCAGTACATTTTCCAACTACATTTTCCAGATATTACTGAGGATCAGTGCTAGGAATTGTGACTTGAGCAACACACTTGACAGATGGCCTCCTTCTCTGCAAAGAAAGACTATGCCTTTATAAATCAAACTCAGTTCAGTAAGGTCTAGTCTTCTAACTCTTAAACTGTCTTCTTCAATGAACCATGGCTTGCATTACTCATCCTCACCAAGTGCCTTGCCAACTGGCATAGGTGAACATGCCTCTACAACTTGCAATGCCCAACAGTATATATCACCACATGTGCTGACCCCCAACCCCTTTCCCCTCCCTAACCCTCCAACTAAAGAGGCCGCCAAGAATCTTCTTATCTATCCTCTATCAATTTTTCCACAGATCTTTCCATTATCACAACACAGCTCAGTTTCTCTTCTTAAAAAATGGCCCCAAAAATGGGCTACAGACTAAAAGGATATAGTTCCAAAGCCCAGCTACTGAGCTGTGTGTATGGCATGACACTATGAGCTGCAGATTTCATTTGGAATGATTTTCTACCATGTCTAATGGGGCTTGTGCTTTAAACTGCAGATTCAGAAACTGGCAAGTAACCTGTTGCTAGAGATAACTGGTGATGCCTTATGCAATTAATTGCATGTGTAACTACTGTTCTGATGTAACTGCTGCTTGCATCAATGATAAACTGCATTTCTAGTGTCAGACTTTATGTATTGGGACATCTGAGGTGCTTCCTTATGCATTTAATGTGTGTGTATGCTACTAGCTTTACTAAGTCAGCGGTCTTTGTCAATTTTTGGTGTCACAAGGGACAGTGATGGACATTATCTGCTGTTTTTTTTGGGCACAGGAACAAAGCAATTATAGGGTGACCTGTTTGGGCCTTATTGGGCATGCAGTGTTCTTCTTTTAACTACTCCTAGAATGCCTCACAAAGTCAGGACTGGAAGAGATCTCTGAAATGTGCCCTTATGTTCACTTCATATATTGTAGTTTTCAGTGTCTCTGATATTTCCGTGGTCATCTTCTGTCTGGTCAACCTCTGGCTCTGTTATTACTGTATCTGTAAAAGATTGTTCTCTGATATAATCTTTTCTAAGTTGATTTTCTTCCCTTGTTATACCTAGTATAACACATAAACATTTCATTTCTTTTGTGACTAATTTTCCTGTCTTCCAAAGACAGTGTCCATGTTTGACACTGATAGCACAGTGCTGGTAAACAGTACTGGCCCATAATTTGAACAGGCCATCTCGTAATTAAAGAGTAAAAAAGCTGTACATACCTGTAAATAATCTTGACAACCGAAGAAAAGTTCGTTCTCTAAGTTTAGATCCATTACATTTAATGTAACTCTTTTGTTTTCATCTGAAAATGACAGACATGTTAAATATATGCTGTTTATACATGGTTAAAAAGAATTATAAAAAACATAGTTTTACAACTATAATAAGTTGATTGGGGAGTCGTCATGGCAGAGCGGCTAGACACTTGCTTACCGATCGGAAGGTCATGGGTTCGCTTCCTGGTGGAGCCGGACTTTTCTCAAAAATGACCTTGGCTCCCAGGTCGACCCAGCTTTAAGTGGGTACCGGGTGCAGTCCCCGGAAGTAAAGGCGGCCTGCATGATGCTAACCACATCACTCATCTTGTGCCGATTGGTCTATAAAATATAGATCCCCATATTCCCTATATGTCTAAAGGCGTGGAAAAGGGTCCTTTACTTACTTTACTATAAGTTGACTAGAAAGTTTGTAGGCCTCAAAAACTATTGGTCATCCAGATGCAAAAGCACTTCAACTGATTGGTTGTACCTAAGTATTCTTGTGTACAATTTGAACTATTTCATTCAGTAAATTATAAAAATTTAGAATATCAAATTTATGACAAATTTATGTTTCTTTCTGTAGCTATGTGCATGGATATGGAACAGAGCTGTTGAGAAATCTATTTGAGATGTGTTCGTGGCGGAGATAGTCAATAAAACATTTTATAATCCTTGGCTGTCACAAAATCTGTTATAACATTTTAAAGATGTAAAATACTAAAAGATATTAAACTATATTGATAAATATAAATTACACAGAGATTAAACAAATTAGCAAATTTAAATTTCGAATCAGATAGAACAGCGATTCTCAACCTGTGGGTCATGACCCTTTTAGGTGTCGAATGAACCTTTCACAGGAGTCGCCTAAGACCATCGGAAAACATATAGTCATTGAAGTTATGAAATCGAAATGAAAAAAATTGTATAGGTGGGGATCACTACAACATAAGGAAGTGAACTAAAGGGTCATGGCATTAGGAAGGTTGAGAGCCAATGAGATAGAAGAATTGAAAGAGAACATCAAATTACAAAGTGCAAAGGCCAATCAGACATTGCAATAATTAACAAGACTTACAACACACAGAGAACCATGCTCAAGAAATAAGGTGGACACAGAGAAAGAGGAAGACTATGCACAAGAACAGCATTAAAGAAAATGAGGATCAACTTATGCCTTATGCAACACATTAGAAAGAGCACAAGGAAAATGTATTTTCCCACAAAACCTTAAAAAGGTAATTGAATAAAGAGGAGGAGAAGTAGAAGAAGAAGAAAATGAAGAAGACACATTTTTGGCAATGAGGCAGTTAATGTGCACTTACCAACATATATTCGCCATTCACAGTCCATATCATCCTCATAAAGTCCATTACCATCTGCATCCAATGATGTAATTGTTCCGTTGGACTGTCGCAGCACTCCACCACATCCATGCTGAGGACCTAGATTTATGTCGATTGTGATCATAAATGATTATATCATAACAAACTTTCCACATATTTCTGCTCTTGGAAACACATTCAGATGGTTTTCCCTTGTCTTCCATATCCAAGTGGATAGTGGGAAACATCCTTATTTGACAGCAACAGCTAATATTCTAGGCAAGACCCAGCGACTTCCCAACCTCCACCATATTGAGACCCAGCTACTTCCCAAGCTCCACCATGTGGAGACCCAGCTACTTCCCAACCTCCACCATGTGGAGATCTAGCTACTTCCCAACCTATACCATGTGGAAACTCAGCTGCAGTATTTCTGTGGTTTAATTTTAAAACTAATTCCATGGGAATTCTGGGTCCACTATAGAAAAGGGAGGGGAAAGAAGGGACCCACTGGCCACCCAACAAAATTGCTGTAAAAGTTGACTAACTGGGAGCATTTTCTTTGAAGTTAGGGTGCGAACAACTAGAACTTTCAGCCCGAGTTTACAATATCAGCCTTTTGGCTGGGTGACTTGAAGAATGGATGAACTTTCAACCAATAAAGTAACACACATTCACAGGCCAATCAGGCATACTGGGGAAATTGTGTCAGACCTGCATATCTGATGACCAGCTGGAATATTAGATCTGAACAAAGATAAAGATAGTACTGTAGCATAAAGTGTCAGTGAGATGTACAGGGTTAGGCTGTCAAACTGTCATCTTCTTCTGCCCTGTATCCCCCTCCCACTGTGGTGCCATGATTTTCATCACAAGCAAAAGGTTACGGCTAACTGTGATTTGTATAAGGACATACTCCGTGCTTCACCTTGGTCGCCAGCAGGCTCTGTGCTGATTTTATGGATTGCATACAAGAATCCTGTGACAATAAGGGCCTATAATGGCCTCCACTGAGCTGGCAGGGGATCTCTGAGTTTGGGGCCCCAGAAATAAAGTTCCAGAAATCCCCAGGCTCTTCTCAACCTCCCTCCTTCCGCCATTTCCTCCTCCAATGCATGGGGGTGTTAACGTCCATCAAAAAAACAAAAAACTCAGTATAGTCTTGCCTGATGTATACATTCCAAAGTGAATGAAATGATCCGGTCTAACCCAATACTGTCACACCGATTGATCTGAGGTGCCCACATGAAGGGTATCCATGTCTGCTGGAACAGTCAGACACTTTGAGAAAGTTAAATGCTCTTTCTGTGAAGGTCACAGCTGTCTAAAACTGTGGACTGCTTCCTGTTTATTACCACAGACGTAGCTGATGATGACAGGATCAAGGATGACAGAAGTGAGGTTTAGCAGTCATGAACAGGACAGGATGAGTCCTGAGGTGAGCAGGCAGTAGCAGAGCATCATGTATCAGGTCTGCATTTATAGAAGCCTCCTTGAATGATGGGGAATGCCTATGCTATGCCCCTGCTTTGCTTTAGGGGCCAACTATCATGCACTGGGAGGCCCTTGATGGCTGTTTGAGGACAGAAGCTGTTGATAAGATGGAAAAGATAATAACAATTAAGCAGTGAAATGCCTCACAAAACTGCTCAGGAAGGTTAACCCAAACACAATATGCCTAAAGGAGTGTAGGAGGTGTTGGCTGAAAGATGCAAATATCACAGCTATGCTGTAAACAAGCAGTGAGCATAGATGCCTGGGTGGCTTACTGGTCTGCTAATGGACGATTTGGTTGGCAGCAATGATGGTGGGTGGTTTGATAATCAAAACTGCTAAAGTTGTGTTAAAGATTACTTGACGGAGAGCTATTTCAAGCCACAACATGTGATATAAATAAACACAGTTGCAATTATAACCAAAAGCTTCTTCTTTGGGGGAGGCTGTTTAAAGGTGGAGAGTTTTATTTTGCATCAGTCAGCCAGTCAAGTCAAACAAGCACAACTCACATGATTCTTACAAACTAAGAAGTTGTACTCTTCACCAGTCTTTCTCACATCTCCACCATTCCCTTCCACCATATATCTTGTCTGCCAGGCTTCATGCACACATCTTGTCTGCCAGGCTTCATGCATACGTCTTGTCTGCCAGGCTCCATGCATACATCTTGTCTGCCAGGCTCCATGCATACATCTTGTCTGCCAGGCTCGGTGCATACGTCTTGTCTGCCAGGCTCCATGCATACATCTTGTCTGCCAGACTCCATGCACACATCTTGTCTGCCAGGCTCCATGCATATCATGTGTAAGAAGACAACAGAATAATTACCATAATTTGACCGGTAGAATCCAGAGAATCCCCTTGAAGAGCCCTCATGATTAGACATGAAAGTAATGTACATTTGGTTTCCTGTGCTTTTAATCACTTCTGGAATATTCTGACGGTTTCCACAGTAACAACCAATCATGTGAGAGTGTGTGTCTGGTCCATCATAAACTGTGAGATTATCATTCTGGCAATGTGGACTGACCTCAACATCAAAACGAACAAATCTGGTAAGAGTGAGGGAAAAAAAATCTCTCTTATACTTCTTATATGAGCTTTCATTTACATAACATCAGAAACAATTTGCATTTTTGTGTTAATTCTTTGAGTCCCAGGGGGTTTAGCATCACAGGCCCAAGAGGTAGTTAAGAGAGACGTAAAATTGGCGCATCTTGACTTCATTGGGCTTCTAGGTAGGAATCTATGAAGGTATGATGCGTTCCTTTGGACTCAAAGAATTAATATGGGTGTTTCTATGGCTTCATTATGAAATGGTAAATAAACATTTTGAAAGATTGATGAAACAAAGACATAAGACAATCCCAATCAGCACAAAGAGACATCTTATTCAAAGCATATTTATTCCAACTCTGTGCTACCAGTGCCAGACATGGTCACTCACAACAAACCATAACAGAAAATTAGTAACCACGGAAATGAGAGGTCTGAGAAGGGCTGTAGGAGTGACCATAAGAGATAAGATCAGGAATGAGATCATAAGAGAACAAGTCGGCACAGAACCAATTCTGGATTACATACAAAGACAGCAAGTGAAATGGTTTGCCCACTTAGAGAGAATGCCTTGTGACACCATACCATACAATGCATACATGGAAAGAGAAGAAGGACGTAGAGCACGGGGTAGACCAAGAACAAGATGGAAGGATAACATCAAAGAAACTCTACAACAGCACGATGTGCCTATGGTCGAGGCAACCAGAAGAGCTAGAAACTGAACCTTATATCTCCCTCGACACCCACAGCGGTAAAAGAGGAAGTGAAGAAAAAGAAGAAGAAGAAGATGAAACAAAACACAAAACACAAAAAGAGACAGAGAAAGACAGATGGCAGGGAATTGTCAAGAGACAAACTGGCACATTCTAGGGAAGTTCAAGCAATGTGGAGGAGCATGGTGACCTATGCAAAACTTACTGATGATAATTGATCTTGTTATTTTATTACAGCTAACTAGAAAGATCAGCATACTAGTCAACAGAGAAAATGATCTCTTGAAGTGACTTTACATGGTTTTGCAGACTACATTTAAAGATATCAAACATTTGTTCAGATGAAAAAAGCTTTGAAGACATCCAAATCACAAAGATTACAGGGATTTTCAGCTGCAGCAAGGAACCGAAGGAGAGATTAAGAAAAGAAATGAGAGAAGGTTGCATTCTGTCAGGCAAGGAAAAGTGCCAGCACTCAAACAGATCAGTGGTACTAAAGATAATAATGTAGTGAAGTTAGATCAGTAGAACGAGCAGATCCCATTCCATGTGATGTTATATGACACGTCTTGTCTGTTTTCATGCAATTTTTACTTGAGAAAGTTTTGATAATACCTACCTTTGTTTTCATGCAACTTTCACAATAATGTCTTCCAAAAATTGCAGTGATGCTCAAGCTGTGCATGCAGCTTCACCATTTCCAAACACTTGTTCTAACAAAAACAGTTATCTTTCTTTCTGATGCATCAGACTACTTCAGACTACTGCTGTCTAGGTTTTACTGCACAGCTGAAATATCTGCACCTTTTGGCTGATACATCAGAATACTTGAGGCTATTGCTGTTTGGGTTTTACTGCACAGCTGTAATATCTGCATATTTTGGCTGATATATCGACTACTTGAGACTATTGCTGTTTGGGTTTTACAGCACAGCTGTAATATCTGCATCTTTTGGCTGATACATCAGCCTACTTGAGACTATTGCTGTTTGGGTTTTACTGCACAGCTGTAATATCTGCATCTTTTGGCTGATATATCAAAATACTTGAGACTATTGCTGTTTAGGTTTAACTGCACAGCTGTAATATCTGCACCTTTTGGCTGATACATCAGAATACTTGAGACTATTGCTGTTTGGGTTTTACTGCACAGCTGTAATATCTGCATCTTTTGGCTAATACATCAGAATACTTGAAACTATTGCTGTTTGGGTTTTACTGCACAGCTGAAATATCTGCACCTTTTGGCTGATATATCGACTACTTGAGACTATTGCTGTTCGGGTTTTACAGCACAGCTGTAATATCTGCATTTTTTGCTGATACATCAGCCTACTTGAGACTATTGCTGTTTGGGTTTTACTGAACAGCTGTAATATCTGCATCTTTTGGCTGATACATCAGAATACTTGAGACTATTGCTGTTTGGGTTTTACTGCACAGTTGTAATATCTGCATCTTTTTGCTGATACATCAGAATACTTGAGACTATTGCTGTTTGGGTTTTACTGCACAGCTGTAATATCTGCACCTTTTGGCTGATATATCGACTACTTGAGACTATTGCTGTTTGGGTTTTACAGCACAGCTGTAATATCTGCATCTTTTGGCTGATACATCAGCCTTCTTGAGACTATTGCTGTTTGGGTTTTACTGAACAGCTGTAATATCTGCATCTTTTGGCTGATACATCAGAATACTTGAGACTATTGCTGTTTGGGTTTTACTGCACAGTTGTAATATCTGCATCTTTTTGCTGATACATCAGAATACTTGAGACTATTGCTGTTTGGGTTTTACTGCACAGCTGTAATATCTGCACCTTTTGGCTGATATATCGACTACTTGAGACTATTGCTGTTTGGGTTTTACAGCACAGCTGTAATATCTGCATCTTTTGGCTGATACATCAGCCTTCTTGAGACTATTGCTGTTTGGGTTTTACTGAACAGCTGTAATATCTGCATCTTTTGGCTGATACATCAGAATACTTGAGACTATTGCTGTTTGGGTTTTACTGCACAGTTGTAATATCTGCATCTTTTTGCTGATACATCAGAATACTTGAGACTATTGCTGTTTGGGTTTTACTGCACAGCTGTAATATCTGCATCTTTTGGTTGATACATCAGAATACTTGAGACTATTGCTGTTTGGGTTTTACTGCACAGCTGTAATATTTGCACCTTTTGGTTGATACATCAGAATACTTGAGACTATTGCTGTTTGGGTTTTACTGAACAGCTGTAATATCTGCACCTTTTGGCTGATATATCAGACTACTTGAGACTACTGCTGTTTGGGTTTTACTGCACAGCTGTAATATCTGCATCTTTTGGTTGATATATCAGACTGCTTGAGACCATTGCTGTTTGGGTTTTACTGCACAGCTGTAATATCTGCATCTTTTGGCTGATACATCAGACTACTTGAGACTATTGCTGTTTGGGTTTTACTGCACAGCTGTAATATCTGCATCTTTTGGTTGATATATCAGACTACTTGAGACCATTGCTGTTTGGGTTTTATTGCACAGCTGTAATATCTGCATCTTTTGGCTGATACATCAGACTACTTGAGACTATTGCTGTTTGGAATAGCAGCCCTGGCTAGTTTTCTGGGAGATTCTATTTTATCCTGTGTAATCTTTTCAACATCATGGATGGAATTTGGTTGAGCATTTTTTCGTTTACCTTTCTCAACAATATTCACCTTAGCGTTTCTCTTGAACATTTTTGTCCACTCAGTCTGTTTCTTTTCCATCATAGTGACTGTTTGGCTTTTTCACATGCTGTGCTCAATACACTGCCGTCTTTTTGTCTTCTGTCTTTTGATACCAGTGCATATCTAAATATTTCTGTTTTGTTTCATGTCTTTAGTAGTTTTCATTTTTCACAGGTCATCAAAGAACAAACAAAGTAGTCTGGACACCTAACAAGATTGCCCTGGTACTAACTGCCACAGCGAGCCAAACTAAAACATTACAACGGTTATAGAGCGAGTGGAAGACCTCGGAAAATATGGAGCGATGGCATTAAGAACAGCCTCACAGAAATTAACATCAATCTTAATAGTGCTCTCTAACGAATGTTCCATGACACTTCCCTGAGGTACAAGGTGGAAGAGAAGAAGAAGAAGAAGAAGAAGAAGAAGAAGAAGAAGAAGAAGAAGAAAAAGAAGTGGTTCTCCAAATTTCACTAGCACTGGCTTATGCTAAAATTTAAATAACATTAGAATAAAATGAAAAATACATAACATTGCTTCAAAACTATGTAACTTAGAGCTTGATATTTTGTTCAGGCTTCTAAAAGCTACAGTTGCCTTACTAACTTGCATTAATGTCTTTTTTTTTTTGGTTTTTCTTCTAAATGTTTGTTTGACAATCAAGATACCAAATAAACAGGTAAATGCAACAGTAATTTTTTTCTCTCACCAGTATGGCATTTGCCGGATCTCCTATTCTTGTCTTTAACATATTTGTTATAATCATATTATACGTAACCTACTTTTAAAACTATTAACTAGGACTATGTCTGCACTGACATTAAAAAAAAAAATCTATGAAAAGGAAACAAACTGTGCTGACTTCAATGTGATGATTCGGCCAGGAGACCCAGTGATATTCCACGAACAGTTCATGTTGTGGAAGTAGTTTTCTGCCCCAGATATGAGATATAAATAACCTGTACGGCCACTCAACACATGATTACATTCTGTGGATTAAAAAAATGTACATATAATAAAAACAAATCTCAAAGTTGTAACATTCTGATACAAGCTGGCAAATGGGGACGGTAACTGATACAAGCTGGCAAATGGTGACAGTAACTGATACAAGCTGGCAAATGGTGAGGGTAACTGATACAAGCTGTCAAATGGTGACAGTAACTGATACAAGCTGGCAAATGGTGACGGTAATTGATACAAGCTGGCAAATGGTGACAGTAACTGATACAAGCTGGCAAATGGTGACAGTAACTGATACAAGCTGGCAAATGGTGACAGTAACTGATACAAGCTGGCAAATGGTGACAGTAACTGATACAAGCTGGCAAATGGTGACAGTAACTGATACAAGCTGGCAAATGGTGACAGTAACTGATACAAGCTGGCAAATGGTGACAGTAACTGATACAAGCTGGCAAATGGTGACGGTAACTGATACAAGCTGGCAAATGGTGACAGTAACTGATAC